AAAATATTTTCTATAATACTCTAACACGTATTACAAATTACAATTTTTTAATAAAAGAAAATTCAATTTTCAGAGTAAAATACTGAAGTTCTACCAAAGTGTTTCAGTATTTATTTAATTATATAAAAAATATGAATTAATTAACATAAAAAAAGATTTTATCTATACTACTATTAAATGTGGAAAAAGTTTCAGTATTTAAGTATCTATTTATAAAAAAATATATTTATTAAGTGATATGAAAAATATTTTTTTAAAAAGAAAAAAAAAAATCTATCAAACTCCAAAATCTATCTAATAAAATTTAAATTAACCTATTTATCTATTTATTATTATGAATTTTTTAATAAACGAAAATTGAATTAGACAAGAATTATTAATATAAAAAATACTTATTAATTGATATATAAAATAAAATAATTTTTCTAAAACTCTACTACAAATTAACTTTTATTATGAGTTTCTTAATAAAATTAAATTTAATTAGACAAGGATATATTTAAAGAAAATAAAATATTAAATGTGCAAACAGTTTCAGTATTTATTTATTTATATAAAAAATATTTATTAATTGATATAAAAAGAGCTTTTATAAAAAAATAATAATAATAAAAGAAAAAAAAACTCTATAAAACTCAAAAATCTACCTAATAAAATTCAAATTAACCTATTTATATATTTATTATTATGATTTTTTTAATAAAATTAAATCTAAAGTTTCAGTATTTATTTATTTATTTAAAAAATATTTATTAAATGTGGAAAGAGTTTTAGTATTTCAGTATTTATTTATTTATATAAAAAAATATTTATTAATTGATATGGAAAGAGTTTTTATAGAAAAAAAAACTTCTATAAAACCCTAAAATCTACCTAATAAAATTCAAATTAACCTATTTATTATTATGAATTTTTTAACAAATGAAAACCAAATTTTCTGAGTAAAATACAGAAATTGTGCCAACGTATTTAAGTATTTATTTATTTATATAAAAAATATTTATTAATTGATATAAAAAAAGTTTTTATCTTTAGTATTATTACGTGTACAAAGAGTTTCAGTATTTAATTATCTATTTTTATAAAAAAAATATTTATTAATTGATATGCAAAGAGTTTTTATATATATAAAAAAATGTCAATCAAACTCTAAAATATATCTAATAAAATTTAAGTTAATCTATTTATTATTATAATTTTTTAATAAAAGAAAATCTAATTAGACTAGAATTATTAATATAAAAAATATTTATTAATTGATATATAAAATAAAATAATTTTTCAAAAACTCTACCACAAATTAACTTTTATTATAAATTTCTTAGTAAAATTAAATCTAATTAAATAAGGATATATTTAAAGAAAATAAAATAATTTTTATCAAACTCTATCATAAATCACAAATTTTATTTTCAATAAAACTCCATCACAGTAGACAAAAATATAATATTTAAAGATTTCTATAAAATTTTAGCTCAAATTTTCTATTTATATATTTATTAGGTGTTTTTTTTAATAAAAGGATATCTAATTAGAAAAGTATTATTAATATAAATAATTATTTATTAATTGATCTAAAAAGAGTTTTTAAAAGTGTTTCTATAAAACTATATCACAAATTACCTATTTATATATTTATTATGAGTTTTTAATAAAAGAAAATTTAATTAGATAAGCATTATTAGGATATAAAAATATTTATTAATTAATATAAAAAGAGGTTTGAAAAGAGTTTCTATGAAACTCTAACACAAATTACCTATTTATCTATTTATTATGAGTTTTTAATAAAAGAAAATCTAATTAGGCAAGAATTATTAATATAAAAAAATATTTATTAATTTATATAAAAAGTATTTTTTAAAGAATTTCCATTAAACTGGAATACAAATTACCTATTTATTTATTTATTATAAATAGATTTCCAAAAAATATAATAATTTCTATAAAACTCTACCACAAATTATCTATTTTATTTTCTTTGAAACTCTATCACATATAACTTATTTTTATCTATTTATTGTGAGTTTTTTTATGAGAGAAATCTAATTAGATAACTATATATTTAAAGAAAATAAAATATATTTTTTAAATAGTTTATATAAAATTTCAATAAAAATTTCCTATTTATGTATTTATTTTGAATTTTTAATAAAATATAATATAACTAGACAAGAATTATTAATATAAAAAATATTTAATAATTGGTATAAAAAATAAAATAATTTTTCTAAAACTCTATCACAAATTATCTTTTATTATGAGTTTTTTAATTAAAAAAAAAGAATCTAATTAGACAAGGATATATATATTTAAAGAAAATAAATGATTTATATAAAATTCAATCACAAATTACCTATTTTATTTGCAATGAAATTCTATCACATTAGATAAGGATATATTTAAATAGTTTTTATAAAAATCTAACACAAATTACCAAAACTTTACCACAAATTAAGTATTTTATTTTCTTTAAAACTCTATCACATATAACCTGTATTTATCTATTTATTATGAATTTTTAGACAAGGATATATTTAAAGAAAATATATAATAATATAATAATACATATAAATAAAATATAAATGTTAAAGAATTTGAACATTTCAGTATTTATTTTTTAATATAAAAAATATTTATTAATTAATACAAAAAGAGAACTCTATCACATATAAGTATATAACCCTTGTATTTATCTATTTTTTATGAGTTTTTTAATAAAAGAAAATCTAATTTTACAAAGATATATCTAAATAAAATAAAATAATTTCTATAAAATTGTACCCCAAATTACATATTTAAAGAAAATAAAATATAACTTAGGGTCTTCCAAAAACCACAGACTCCATATAATAAATTTTTATATCAATTTCAATCTAATGTATAATTAGTATAATTGAATTTCTATTTTAAAATTTAATTAAAAATTAATATAATTGAATTTCTATTATAAATTAAAAATTATACTAAATTACAAATTATCTAATAAAATTCAAATTACAAATTACCTAATAAAATTCAAATTACCTAAAAAAATTTGTTACTTTGCAAAACTCAAATATTTCACTATTAACATAAAAAATTATTATTTAATAAAAAATAAAATATATATATTTCAGTATTAATATAAAAACATAAAAGAATTTATTAATTTACGAAACTTAAACTCTATCACCAATTTCAAAATATTTCAGTATTTATTTATTAATATAAAATAAATTTTTATTAATCAATATGAAAACAAAAATTTTATAAGTTACAAAATATTCACCAAGTGCATCGCACGTGTCTTTTTCTAGTATATATATATATATATATATATATATATATATATATATATATATATATTAAAACAACCATTGCTTAGTAATCTAATTAAAATTTTTGCATAATAATTATTCTTTGTAAAATAATTTAATTAACTTTTTATTTAAAGTGTAGTACTTTTGGCTTTTCAAAAATTTTTTTTTTCCTGTACGATATATATATTTTTATTTCCTTTAAAATATGTATAATGTCAACAATTATAAATGTTGGCAATATAGATGTTGTATTTTATTTATTTATTTGTTAAAATATGCATAATATCAATAAATAAATATTTTTCATCAACAATATGAAAAATACATTTTATTTAATTGCTCCATTCAATTACACCGAATTCAAACATCTTCATCAACAAATTAATTCCACAAATGTTTCATTAAATTTATCAAGAAAATATAATTTTTAGTGAACAATTAAACTTTTTTTTTACTAACCGTTTGAAATATAGTCGTTGAAAATTTAATTTTATTATTCAAAAAATTATAATTTTTAATAAATTAATAAAAAATAATAATTAAATAATAAAGTAGAGATCGGAACAATGAGCTACACAACAGAATGAAGGAATCTCCTAAAAGTAGGTGGCTTTTCCCTTCTTTGTGATCTTAAATGGGTATGTTACATACGTACATGCATAATTATTCGACAAGATAATATTATTTTAAGATGTGCATTCAAAGAGATGGCTCACTATTAATTTATTATTTTTAGATGTGCATTCAAAGAGGTGGCTCACTATTAATTTATTTTTATCTTTTTTCTTCCAGAAGTTGTCACTATTAATTAATTGAGTAATGAGTAAAACAAATTTGACTCATTTTATATTAATAGAGGCTGATCACATTGCTAGTATGGACAATATTGTTTATCATTTTGGTTTGATAATATTTTAGTTTTTTCACTTCTTGATACTCCCAAGACTAACTCATGGACAATATAAATACCCATGTCATCTTAACTTTGATTTCAAGACTACTGTTCCTTCTTTTCCTAGTAGCTAATGTTCATTTTGTTCCCTTCATCTCTGTTCTAGACACTAGACAGTTCTTTCTCCGAGTGTTTTTTTTTTTGTAGTGTTCGTCTCCTTCCACTCCTACTGTCAGCATTTCTCATCTCTTCTTTTTTGGTATGTAAGTATTTATTTTCCATCTTTTTGGCTATTATTACATCTGCAACCTTTTTCTTTTCCACTTTTGTTTTATTTTTTCTTTATTTTTCCTAAAAAAAAGTTACACATCAGCAGCAATTATATATATAGCAAGAGATGAGTAAGTAATTAATTGTCCTTCATATTCAAGTATCAAGAGAAAAATAACAGGGAGTTGTGATTTGTTGATCAAAATCCAGATGCTAGATAGTGTAATCGGACTTTTGTCTCCATTTCTTTATCACATATAAAAGGGAAAACTAATTTCATTTGCAGTTCTGCCCATGCACATCATTAAATGCTTTACTTTCGATTCCATTGGTAACTGGTTCATAAGTGAAGGAACTGTATTTCTCAGCAAACAGTTATGCCTTTCTACTTGTTCTTGAATTGCATACTTAAACAAATAATGTGTGCGTGTATATATATATATATATATATATATATATATATATAATCTTTTTAATTTAATTAATTTCTCATGGAAATTTGAAGTACTAAACTTATCTATAGCTTTAAGGACTCCATGGCAAATGAGCAGACAATTACTTGCGGGCCATTTGGCGGTCCAGGGACAACAGCCACCTCATGGGATGACAAAACCTACACCACAGTAAGGGAAGTAATTTTACATGCCGGAACGGAAATACATTCCATTCAATTAGTCTATGATAATCAAGGAAAACCAGTATACGGACAACAACATGGTTCTGTAGGCGGAACCCTGTACAAGGTAAATATAAGTATATATATGTAATTTGATTTTCAAATATGCAAATCATGTACAAATTTATAGGATTCTATATTTGTGCCTCTCATGTTTTGGAAAGCTAGCTAATTAGCTAGACAACATAACATCTCACAAAAAAATTAAATTAAATTCATTACCAACTATACCACATTACGTGTGTCCGTATATTATGAAGAAAGAAATAAAATAGAAGGAAAAATGATAATTAAACTTAGTGAGTAAAATGATTTAAACAAATCTAGTAATTAAGCTAGCCACATTGGCATTTCAAAGTTTCAAAAGTTTAAGTGACATTCACATTCACACTAACGAAAGCTACATCATTAATTAATCAAATCCTCGATTCTTTCAGTCTGTTTGTTGTCCCAAATGTTGGTTGTTATATTTTTCAAGTATTTATCTTTATTATATTATTTGATTAGTAAGTATATCATTTTGGAGTGAATTTTATTTTAATTTTTTTTTCTTTTGATTTGAATAATTCAATAATTATTATGTTAGTTGTTTTTTTTTTTTTTTTTTTTTTTTTTTTTTTTTTTTTTTTTTTTCAAATATACAATGCTCCCTTTGAATTGAAATCCTCACTCCCTTAATAAATATATATCTTAGTACTCCACAATTCACATTATGAAGCATAAAACTATGTATACATATTTTAATGTACAAACCTCTAAATTTGAGACCAGAATTTTATTTCGTCCTAGGTCCTGTTACGAACTGATTTTGATTCGATTATTCAGCTTTGCCTTCAAATGTTTGACCCATTTTTATCTTTTAGATCTTGGACCCAAATTATTGTCTCTATTTTAACCCCATTTTGTGGTGGTATGAGAAAACACTAAAGACTAAATAGAGAATTTGAGGGACAAAAGTTTTTTTTATTTATTATTTATTTTTTTATTTTATTTATTGGGTAAGTGAAAATAGATAAAGATTGTCAACTTTGAAAACTTGTAATCTCCATCATCTTTTTTGCATAGTGAAATATTTTTGTTGATCTTCATTATGAATGTTATATTTTTATGTATTTTTTCTGTTGCGTTTGTGGTTTAGCAATTTGTCGTAATACCTAATGTTATCATTGATAATTGAAATCTTACAGGTGTCATTAGCTTATCCTGGGGAGTACCTCGTTTCAATATCAGGGCACTTTGGTCAATGTATTTATAATAATAAAAAATACGTTGTTCTGAAATCTCTTATATTTCATAGCAATACAAAGCAACATGGACCATATGGTCCCCAAGAAGGAAGCCGTTTTCTAGGTCCCTTACCAATAGGCAAGATTGTTGGATTCTTTGGAAAGAAGGGTGGTCGTTTGGATTCAATTGGAGTATATGTTAAGCCATTCCCAACTAGAATAACTGTTGGTCCATTTGGAACTACTGGTGGACAACAATGGGACGATGGAACCTACAGCACAGTAAGGGAAATAATTATAAACGCCGGAGCGTTAATTGATTCCATCCAAGTTGTCTATGATAGTGAAGGAAAGCCAGTGATGGGAGAAATGCATGGTAGTAAAAGCGGAAACCAACACAGGGTAATATCTATATATATATATATATATATATATTTGTGTGTGTGTGTGCGCGCACGCAATTTGATTTTTAAATGTGTGACTCATGCACAAATTCGTTTTATTTTATATTTGTCATACCTCTCATGTTGTGTGAAAACTAGCTAGCTAGACAACATAACATCTATTTAAAAAAACATATTATAATAATAATGAATTTATCCTCTTTTTCTTGTTGAAGATTTTAATACTTGATCTTTCATTTATACAAGTATATATGAATGCCATGCGCACTAACCCTTCCTTTACCATTATAATTTATGTAGGTCATATTAGACTACCCAGATGAATTTTTGGTTTCATTTTCTGGGTACTACGGGCAGGTAGATAAAATGATTATTATCCGGTCACTTGGATTTCAAAGCAACAAAAGAACGTTTGGACCATTTGGCACGGAGGATGTAGAAAAATTTCAATTCTCATATGGTACTTGTGGTAAGATTATCGGATTCCACGGAAGGTCTGACAAGTATCTTACTTCCATTGGAGCATATCTTGTCAATTGAGAATGAAATTTAGACAATGATCAAGCCACCTCTTATGAGTCTTTAAATCATTAATAATTTAATTGCATCTGCATTCCATGCAGTTATAATAATGGATGCTCTGTGTAGTCCTTAAAGGTTGGTGAAAGTGGTTAGGGCGACACAAACTAGTGTATGTGTTCATGATTTAAAGTAATTTTCATGTTATTTTTCTGAAAGTTTGAGTTGTTAATGTATTTTGTTTAACTATGTCAATCCAGTGATAGTATATTTATGTTTTTTTCTGGTGTTCCTTATAATAAATTGGTGGTTGTACTTGCAAAAGAAGAATCTTGTTGGTTGTGAAAAAAATATGCTCTCTATTTGGATTGGTAAATCACTATATGACATTGAATCATTTGGATCTATTCTGTAGATGGATACTATAAAAATCATTTGCCTTTATCCATTATTCCAAACTATGTTTATAGCCATAATATATCGTTGATACCTCGAAGAGGAAAATATATATTTAATATTAAAGCTATGTTTGGTTGCACCGAATTGAAATGAGGATAGGATTGCAATTTCATGGTATTACATGTAATTTAATAATATAAATCCATGGATCTAAATGCATAAATCCAATTAGGAGACATGCCCAGATATAGAAACTATATTTGAAGAAAACTACAACGGAAATGATCTTCAACCCTCTCATATGCCTACAAAACTGGATAATAGACTCCAGGATTTCATTTACTTATATAGTGAGGGTTGTGACCATTTCAATAGTTACGTGAAGAGATGTGTTGTGATGACCCTGTGGGCGGGTGTGCCGTGGGCGAGTGCGAGAGATACTGTCAAGCTATCACACTGGCGAGCTACGGGTGCACAGTCCCACATCGCCTGGGTAGAGGAAAGGTGAAGTGCTTATATGTAAGTATGTCACCTCTAATTGGTATGAGGCCTTTTGGGGTGAAGCCCAAGAGTAAAATCGTGCGGGCTTAGGCCCAAAGCGGACAATATCATACCATGTGGTGGAGTGGATCGTTACAAATGGTATCAGAGCCTGACCCAGCCGGAAGTGTGCCGGCGGGGACGTCGGGCCTCCAAGGGGGGTGGATTGTGATGACCCTGTGGGCGGGTGTGCCATGGGCGAGTGCGAGAGACACTGTCAGGCTACCACACTGGCGAGTTACGGGTGTACAGTCCCACATCGCCTGGGTAGAGGAAAGGTGAAGTGCTTATATGTAAGTGTGTCACCTCCAATTGGTATGAGGCCTTTTGGGGTGAAGCCCAAGAGCAAAATCGTGCGGGCTTAGGCCCAAAGCGGACAATATCATACCATGTGGTGGAGTGGGTCGTTACATGTGTTGGTTCCATCAACCAACACAACTCTTTATATATACATATGTGACTATTCATTCAAATTAGTAGCACCTTTAAGGATTAATATGATGTAACACACCTATATTAAATACATGGATAATTATATATTAATTAATTATAGTTAGACTATTATTTTTACTTACATTTTCCCACTTAGTTTAATAATAATTAATTTCGATCACTTCAAGATCAAAATGATCATAAGTATTGTACTCCAGAAATAAATCCATATATTTATAAGAAACACTTCTATCATTCAATTTGGAGTACCTTCGAGTCTACTAATATGGTATCAAGGGTATCATTATTTCATTAGTGATATAAGACACCAATGGTCACTGTTACTAACACACTCAACTCCAGAGTCACATATATACCGTATATGCATATATTTAACACATTATTCATGCCATACATTGATCCTACCATTGTGGAAATAGTGTTAACGAGGGGTGCGGAAGTTATTAGTTGATTTTAATTCTGATTAACTCTTTAATGACCTAGATCTGATTATTAGGTCAACTTGCTCAATTTATGATTGATTAAATTATATGATCAATTTAAACATTCACAATCATAAATATAAATACTGTAAAGTAAAGCAAGTTAAGTTTAGAGAGATTGCACCAGGATTTTTAGCAAGGAAATTGATGAGTGCTGAGTATATGCATATTCGAGCCCCTAAATATACGAATGTTAAGGCCTAAAGTGATACTTCTATTCATAGTTAGACTGATTTATGTTTAATGTATGTTTACAGGTTCTTTCCTAGAGAAATGGTTAAAACTGGGACTTTATGATGATATCAAAGCTTTCAGAGTCGTTTCGGTCATTTAGAGCAAGCCGAGAGCTTAATGGTGAAGCTTAAAGAAATTCAAGCCCTAGAGCTCGAGCCCAAGTATTGAGGCTCAAGCATCACAACAAAGAAAAAGAAAAGTTAACAAGGCAGAGAAGCTCGAGCCTTGTACTTTGGTGCTCGAGCCCCAACTTAGGGTGCTCGAGCCTTGACCCTCAAGCTCAAGCATGAGGCGTTGAAAGTTGAAGAGTTTATTTTAAGTGAAAGACTATGCTCCCAGGTCTCGAGCCTTGACCCTCAAGCTCGAGCATGAGGCGTTGGAAGTTGAAGAAATGATTTTAATTAAAAGGCTATGCTCCCAGGTCTCGTGCCTCACCTTCAGGATCGAGCACTATCCATTGAAGCTCAAGCCTGGAGTCCCAAATGCTCGAGCCTGGTACCTAGTGCTCGAGCCCATAAAGCTTGGATTGAACAATGTTAAAAGATTTCAATCCCAAAAATATTCTAAGCGTTGAAGAAAAAATTGCTTCAGAAAATAGTTGAAGAAAATTGACTAACTGTCAAAGTGAAGATCGAGCACCAATTCTTGAAGCTCGAGCATCAATCCAGAGAAGCTCGAGCCTTGTTCCTAAAGCTCAAGCCTGAACCTTAAAGCTCGAGCCTCTGTTCCTAAAGCTCGAGCCTTCTATGATATGTCAGATTTAAAGTACAAGATTACTCTCTTTATCAGCCGTATCTCTTCTCAGATGGGCCAGTAGACCTAAAAGCCCACCAGGTCCTCATTTTCTTCTATAAAAGAAGGTGTAAGCCTTGATAGAGGAGGTCCAAAATTTCAAGTTCTTTTTAAGGTGTTATTCAGAAGGCTGGTGGCGTGGTGACTTTTAGGGTTCCTACAACCTTGAAAGTAAAGATCCTGAGAAGAGAAGTGTCGTCCGTGACGATGGAGACAACTCTAACACAGATGACATCCGACATCATTATAAGTAGCTAATTCCTCTCTTAGGGCACTGATGTAACCCAATCTAGTATTATGGTTTGATTGTTTTAACTCTGGGATTTTATTTTATTATATTATGTTTACTTGATTATATGACTATGAGTAATTGAGACAACTCAATTGGTTTTCATACTTTAGTAGATTATAAACTGTTATTCCCTTGTCTTAGATATAATGGTTTATTGTCTATTCTCAACCTATCTTGTTGTGCGGTATCTGGCGGAGCCCTGCTGGACACAAGAATAAAGGTCATATAATGGTATTCTAATGCTTAGGAAAGGTGGATTGTTTACAAAATAGTTAGAGTAGTTAGAGTAGGTAGGTGGATAGTCCGCGCTAACCGCAGATAGGTTATAGTTAACTGAATTTTGTAGAACATCTTTCTTTAAAACCTGAATTGAACGAATGTTATTGAGTTCAATTCATTTGAAAAACATAAGTGTTAAATCCCCAGAATTGGAGTAGTTAACCATAGTATGATGATTGTGGTGAAGTAAAAGCTCTAAGATGTCTATCTCTAATTACTTAGTTTAATATTTCAGTTTAATTTTAGTTTGTTTTTAATTGTGACAACCAACAAACTTTCCAACCAAGTTACCTGTAAACCATAAAATGAAATTAAAGACTAAATATAAATCTCATCTCCTTATAGGTTCAACGTCTCTTTCTATAGCACTATTCTACACGGAATTGCCCTATTGCGAGTGGTAAAATTAGACATGGTCAATTTTTGGCGTCGTTGCCGGGGAGATTAGTTTTTTATTTAGTTTTTATTAGTTTAAGTTGGTTTACCAGTCTTCAGACTTTCTGATATCTCACCTTAATTCTTTTTCTTTTCAGGTACAAATTAGTAATGAGGACAAAGATGCTTAAGGGATAAAACGCTTCGGTTTATTAAACCTTTTGTGAGTTTTTATTGTTTTCTGCTACTTAGAATATTTTATTGTTACTACTGTTAGGATTAGTGGAACTAGTACATGTTAACTCGCCATAATCGGACAACACCTTTAGTGCATGATCTTGAAATAGAGAGAACTTTTAAACAGTTAAGAAAGCTTAAAAGACATTTGAATTCTATAGGAAGTTCGTCTGATAATATGGTTGATCAATGTAACACATTGGGTAATAATGGTAATGGTAATGAAGAACAGGATTTGCCTATACCTCCACCACAACCACAATGCTGATGCAACCCATTTTGAGATCAAGCCTGCTATGATCCACATGCTTCCTACCTTCCATGGGTATGCAATAGAGGATTCTTATAAGCACTTGGACGTGTTTTTGGAATTGTGTTCAACTACCAAGTTGACCACTCTTACCAATGATTCATTCAGAATGAGTTTTTTCCAAATCTCTCTGAAGGACAAAGCAAGAACTTAGTTAAAGTCCCTTTCAACAAATTCCATATCTACATGGGACACGTTGCAACAGGAGTTCTTGAAGAAATACTACACTATGTGTAAAACCACACAAATGAGAAGAAAAATTATGGCATTTTCCCAAATCGCGGGAGAACAGCTCCATGATGCATGGGAGAGATATAATGATCTTCTAAGAAAGTGTCCATACCATGATATTGCTCAATAGCACTTAATACAGATATTCTATGATAATCTTACAGATTCTTATGGAAACATGGTAGATGCATCCAGTAATGGAGCTTTTTTGCGTAAGAGTCTGGCTGACGCTTAGGAACTGTTTGAGGCCCTAAGTGAAACTTAGTGCAACATGCTTCTTCTTCTAGGTTTAGGTCTTCACCTGGAATGCATAAGGTTAAAAAACTTTATGAGGTAGATAAATTTAGTGAGTTAGCCACTCAAATAGAAGCCTTTAACCATAGGTTTGATTAAATCTTATCATCTGGCTTTACTTCTATTGCTAATCCACAAATTGCCTTGCCAAAGAAGGTTTGTTCAATCTGTGTTAATCCCAATTATTTTGCTAACACTTGCCCTATGTTGGGACAATCATCTGAGATCCCACAGGAGTAAGTGAATACTGCATTCTCTAGACCAGCTTATAATCTATATTCTTCTACATATAATCCTGGCTAGAGAGATCATCATAATATACATAGCGTAATCAAAATCAAGGAACCACTGTTCCTCAATCAAAGGGGCAGTATAAAAATTCATCCAATCCTATGCTATAAAATAATTCTTTCAACCAATCTGGTATTTACCGTCCACCTCAGTTTAGGAATCAACCCACTCAAGCTCCAAATTTTCCACCTCTTCCTAGAAATTCTGCTTTTAAGGAACAAGTACTCAATGCTCTTGTTGATCTTAAAGCCAATGCCCAACTTCTTAATACTCATTCTCAAGCAATAGCAAAGCTAGAGGCACAAGTTGGGCAAATAGCCAGTACTTTATCTCAAAGAGAGGATGAAAAGCTGCCTAGTCAGCCAATAGCCAACTCAAAAGGGCAGACTTACATGATTGATGAAACCAATTCCTCAGGTATTCATTATGAGTAAGCTCAGGCTATCACTACATTGAGGAGTGGAAAAGTGGTTGATAACCAAGTTGAAAAAGGTCAGGAGGAAAAAGAAAGGCTTAAGATTCCCATTATTCCTGTCATTCATAATCCACATCCCAATGATGTTTCTTCAAATTCTATTCCACAATCCACAAGAGGAGTTGAAGGTGGAGTCACTTCTTCATCTACTCCTAACCCTGAGATAGCTTATGAGCCAAAAACGCATTATCCGGAACATCTCAAAGAACCCTCCCACTTTGGTAAACGAGGAGAGAAAATTCAAAATATGATGGAGGTCTTTAAATAGGTCAAAATCAATCTTCCTCTACTCGATACTATAAAACAAATTCCAGCCTACTCCAAATTTCTAAAGGACTTGTGTACTCTAAAAAGAAAATCCAAAAGCCAAGTTCCTATAATACCTCTAATTTTAAAAGGATAGTCTCGGCATTTTAATTATTATTTTTTTTCATTTTATTTGATTATTTGGCATTTTTATTTGCTTATTTGCTTAATTATTTTAATTGTGGTGATTTAATTGAATTAATTGTATTATTTGTTTTATTTGTTTGAGTTAATGCTTTAAATTGTTAATGTTTTAAATTGTCTTATTTATTTATTTAAATGACTTAGTTGATTGTATTCGTTGTATTAGTTTTATTAATTGTTAAAATATAGTTTGGGTTTTATTTTTCTGTTTAAGTAATTAAGTTTTAGCCGACTTAGATATTGAATGAGTGTTTTCTTTTCTCGTCTCTAAATTAAATTGGATTTAGGGTTGGTATTATTTCTTAAGCCTATAAATAGAACAGTAGGTCTACCAAGGGTTTTTGAGACCCCAATTCACGTACTGGAAGTAGAGTGAAATAGAGAGAGACTTGAGTGAAACAGAGAGGAACCTAGGGTTTGGTAAAGGGGTGTTGTTCATGGGTTGAACCAAGGAAGAACAACAAGGAGTTAGAACAGTGAAGGTTCGCCGAAGAATTTAGGAAGACGACGTTGAGATTTTGAACCGAAATCTCAAAAGGCAAGTTCTATTCCTAACTCTCTCCCTTTGACTCGTGTTCTTTACATGCCTAACACAATTCCAGGAATAAATAAACATTAAAATTAATCTGGTTTGCATGTTTGATTTGCTTTAAACAGTACGTGTCCATAAATTGTTAATTGCTCGTTTTAAATTCTTCTTGCATAATTCATGATTTAATTGACGTCGATTAATGAATAAAGAATTTAATTGGTTCTGGAACACACTGGAACATAGTTCAGACACCTAGGAACTCTAGGAATGGAGGACAGAGGATCAGGAAGTCGCCGGAGGTGAAGCAGGTGAGGGAAACGGGTGAAAGCCGGCTCCTAGTTGAAGGGAGCCGGCGGCTCCATGAAACTTGGAGGCGGCTCCTTCTTCAAGGGAGCCTACTCCATCAGTTTTTATTTTTATTTTTATTTTTGTGTTCCAGCGACTATTTTTGCTTCGGGACTTAAATCTTGAAGGTTATAGGTTCAGTTAGAAGCTGTATTGGGGGTAGTCAGAGATGTCCTAAGCTTTATTAAAACTTTCGAGAGAAGATTAATGCAAAACAAATCAACTGATGTTTATACTTCGACATTAGACAATGTTTAAATAAATTAGTTTACTATTTCTGGATGGAAAGGATTTTAAATTGCTTAATTTTAGGATAGCTATTCTCAGTGATGATTTTTCAGTTAATCATGTTCCAGTGTTATAAAATAAGTATGCGAATTCATATATATTCTATTATACTTATTTGGAATTAATTGGTTTGCTGTTTCTGGATGGAAATGATTTTAAATTGCTTAATCTTAGGATAATAATACTCATTGATGATTTTTTAGTTAATTATGTTCTAGTGTTATAAAATAAGTATGTGAAGTTATATGTTTTATTATGCTTACTTATAATTAATTAGTTTACATGTATGATCTGCATTATCAATTATTGGACTTTACGAAGTAGTATCGAATAAGCATGTTAATTTACAAAATTTTATCATGCTTAGTATGGAACAATTGATGTTTATATTTAATATTTTATTGTCGATTATTAAATATATGGATTAGTTAATAGTTACATTTATTATTTGTATTATCAATTACTGGATGTATAGATTTTATGCACCGGAATGGGACGGTGGCATACTAGGGATGGATTAGCTCGAAACGCTAAGTCCTACCTATACTAGAATAAGGGAACAGATTATAAAAATAAAATCCTACTTATATGTAAGTCAATACAGCTGAAGAAGCTGAACGACTAACTGGATTTCTTATGGTTAGATGTGATAGGACTTTAAATACATATTTATGGTACCGCGATATGAGCTTGAGTCTTAGAGCCGACGGTTAGGGAGCGTATATCCAGTAGGATGCGTAGCTGGATATGATAGGTTGAGGTATACCCTATTAGGCTTAGGTACTCATGCCCACTCAGGTGCGTTTTGCATGTTGCCTTCTTTTCAGGTTGAGACCCCCTTCATAGTCCAGTGAAAGTCCTAGTGTGGATATATATATGTACGGACTACATAGCCATTGTTGAGTTATTTAGGATGTATATGCATATTGGGTCTCTGCTTGGATTGTAGTAGGATGGAACTTGTTCGTGGGCCTAACCCACTTCTATTTTTCAGGAGTTCGTCAGTTCCAAGTGTAAAGATTGTTTGTGCTGAGCAGAGATAGTCACTCATTCCTCCGATGACGTAGGATCTCATTTGATGTCTTAGCTTTGGATTTTAGTTCAGTAGTGTGGAGAGAAAAAAAAAACCACGCTAATCACAAAACACCACGTGGCGGCAAAAGGCAGCCCACAACCAAGTTAAAAAAGCTGGAAGCCCATAATCAGATATAAGCCCAGCAAAGGAAGGCCTATTTAATATAAAGGCTAAATGGACAGGCCCAATCTTGACAAGGCCCAAACTCCATAACGCCCGTAATAATTTTGAATGCACGATCTGTAGGTGTAATTACCCACTTTTGGGAATAAAAGCCAAGATTCGGCTCCATGTAAATTCCTAAGCAAAAATACTTATAAATAGAGCCTGAACAAAGGTGAAGAGCATCAAACTCTCAATATTACTACTATCTCAAAGATTTGCCTATTCCTTTCTTGATTTTTTCTGTGTGCTCTCCACAATTGATCTCTTTAGGTGTTCGGGTGTAAAATATTGCACCCATACTTAGGGGCCGTCTGTGGGAACTTCGATACAAAAAGTCCGTTCCTTATCCCTTGCATACAACATCACTCCAGAATGACAACAGAGCCAGACACTATTCAACCGCAGCAACAGGAGACCATGCAGAAGATACGCGAAGAAATGCAAGCACAACTGGACGTCCTGCGACAAGTAAATGAAGCTTAGGCTCAAGAAACTAGCGTGGCACAAATCAGCACTCTGCGCAGAGAAAACGAAAGACTCCGAGGCAACGCTCGGTGGAATGAACAGCCGAACGACCCTCGGCCCGAACGCGAGAACAAAGATCCCCCCATGGAGCCAGGCAATGATAATCCACCTCACCAACAGAAGGCTTCACGCCAACAACTCAATAGAACACTGGAGGACATCAACGATGCCACAAGTCAATCCCGTACCTTAGGGAACTCCAATATTGGGGGGCCTCGAGTCACCAAAGCCCATCCATTAGATAACGCGGATTCAGGTAGAAAAGAAGTGTGGACCCCAGCAGCTTATCAGCCGTCTTCGAGGAACGACTTTATCACTAGGCTCCGGAAAGAAATTGACGAACGAATCAAAGGCTAAAGGCCCAAACGCCTGAAAACATGGCAAGAGAATTCACTGCATCAATAGTGAAAACCCCTTTCACAGATAAGATAGAACGGGTCGCAAGACCTAAGAAATTCACAATGCCCAAGTTCATCAAATTCAATGGGACTGGAGATCCCCTCCAGCACCTCAACCACTATACTCAGGAAATGACACTAGAGGCTCATAATGATTAATTCCATTTAGCCTGATGGGGGTGGCCCTAGAGTGGTTCAAGAATCGCCTGTGCAAGTCGATCCCAAACTTCGAGTCATTATGCGTTGCGTTCTTGGCCAGTATTGTGGAAATAAGAAACAGAAGAAAACCATTGCCAGTCTCTTTACGATTCGGCAGATGAGAGGAGAAGGCCTGTAAACCTTCCTCACCCGATTCAACATGGAGTTTTCGGGCATACCAGATTGTAATCAAGACACAGCCATAGAAGTGTTCAAGATAGCCATGGTGCAAGGCTCACATTTCCATTCTTTTCTGGTGAAGAAGACCCCAACTAACATGTCGGAGCTAAATTTGCGGGCACAAAAGTACATCAGACTTGAAGAAAATAAAATAACTAGATAGCAGAGAGCGACACTGGTCATAGTAGAGAATCGGCCGAAGGAGCGATTGAGCACCCTGAGGGCCCATCGGGAACCCCCGGCTATTGAGGGATGAGCCCCTGAAAAGAAATCCTAGACAACTGAAAGAGTCACGCCGCTCAAAGTAACATAGGCCAGACTGTACTAAGAGACCAAGGCAAGAAACATCTTCCAGATCCCACTACCAATCAGACATCTAATGGAGCAAAGAGACCAGAGTAAACACTGTGCTTTCCATAGTGATTTTGGTCACCTGACCAATGATTGCAGGAGCTTGAGAAGACAGGTGGAAGCGTTAATAGCCAAGGGCGAGTTAACTGAGTACTTGATTACCCCAGGGCAACAAAGGCAGCAAGATCGAGCCCGAGCAATTCCAAAAACCGTGGTAGAAAGCCATCATGTTCGGGTAATCAACACAATTTATGGCCATCCAGAAGAAGACGAGCAATCGAGAAATTCCTCCAGGATCCAACTCAAACAAGCCCATAAGCTGCGGAGGATTGGAGAAATCAATACCGTTGACTGCAAACCCAATCCAGCACAAGTTTCTTTTCATAAAGGGGATCTCAGAAGGGTGTTACACCCGTACGAAGACCCATTAGTAGTTAGTCTACTAGTGGCCAACTGTCTGGTCAGACGAGTACTGATTAACCCCGGCAGTAGCGCCAATATCATGACAAAGTGGACGTTCGATCAGTTAAAATTGGCTGCAGACCAGATTCATCCCACTAAAAACCCTTTGGTAGGATTCGATGGAAGAAGAGTAGAGCCCACATGTGTGATCACGCTATCAGTCACTGCTGCTAAAAGATCTTTGAAAGAGAACTTCGTGATTGTTGATATTCACCTGACCTACAATTTGCTAATGGGTCGAGGATGGATCCACTGTATGGAAGGAGTCCCATCAACCCTACACTAAGTCATGAGATGCATAAGCCCGAATGGTCAAGAGGTCATCAATATCTAGGGGGACCGGGGAACAGCGAAGGGGTGCTACCATACGATGGTTTATCCTTCCGATAAGGACAAGAAATTGTTGAAATAGCAATTACCGAGCTCTTCCCCTCCAAAAGAGACGGAGGAACCGGAAGAAGAGCATCTTACTGTAGAACCCCCAGAAGGTATGCAGATAGTCACAGGGGACAAGCTTAAGCTGACCTACATAGGGACTCTCCAGTCAATTCAGGAAAAGGAGGAGCTGATAGAAATCTTAAGGAAGAACACAGACGTCTTCGCTTGGAATCACTGGGACATGCCAAGAATTGACCCACGGAAGGCCTGTCACAGCCTGAACGTGGACCCCAGCCATCATCCGGTGAAATAAAAGCAAAGAAGGTTTGCCCCTGAAAGGAATAAAATCATTGCCGAAAAAGTCAATCGACTTTTAGAAGCAGGGTTCGTCAGAGAAGTCCAGTATCCTCAATGGTTGTCAAACGTGGTGGTTGTCCAGAAAAAGAATGGTAAATGGCGAGTATGTATTGACTTTACGAACCTGAACAAAGCATGTCCAAAAGATAGCTTCCCACTCCCTAAGATCGATCAGATGGTAGACGCTATGACTGTATATGAAAAACTGACTTTCCTTGATGCTTACTCGGGCTACAACCAAATCCCGATGAACCCTTCAAACGAAGAGAAGACTTCTTTCATCACCGAACGGAGGACCTATTGCTACAAGGTAATGCCCTTCAAGTTAAAAAATGCAGGAGCAACTTATCAGAGGCTGATCAATAAAATGTTCGAAGAACAGATCGGCTGAATGGTCGAAGCTTACATAGATGATATGGTTGTGAAAAGTAGAGTTAAAAAAATCATCGGCAACACCTATGATACCCCCGATTTCCGAATGCGGGTTGGCCAGGCCCACACCCGATTACCCGAGGATATCAAATTAAGTAGCAATAATCGAACACAGAATATAATTAAGGAAACAGGAAAAAATAAAACTGCTGAAAAGAAACTAGAATAATAATCCAAAACTGAAACCTCAAAATAAAATTTTATAAATAAAGTATTAATCTGATACATCCAACTTTTCCAATTCCAATACAACTCGGGAATCCATCTGGTGGACCCCTAATCAAAACCAATACTAGAAGGTGAACAACTGAAAAGAAGTCCACTGCTAAACCATGAAGAAATCTCCTACGTCGTCGGTAGAAAGAGTAGTCGTCTCTGCTCAGCATGAACAAGCTCTAAGACCTAGAACCGTTCGTTACCTGAAAAATAATAGTGGGTCAGGCCCACGAACAAGTTCTATCCTAACTACAATCTAAACAGAGACCCAATACGCAGATACATCCTAGATGTCCCAACCATATCTATGTAGTCCGTAATAGATAAATATATATATCCACACTACAGGACTCTCACTAAACTATACTGAGAGTCTCAACCTGAATAGAAGGCAACACGCAATACGCACCTGAGTGGGCATGACTACCTAAGTCTAACAGGGTATACCTCAACCAACATAGCTAGTTAAGCATCCTACTGCATATACGCACCCTAACCGTCGACTATGAGACTCAAGCTTATATCGCGGTACCATAATAATATATATAAAATCCGTTCACATTCATCCATAAGAAATCCAGTAAGTCGTTCGGTGTATTCAACCACACCGACACATTTATATAAAGAGGATTTTATTTAACAACCCGTACCCTTATTCCAAAATAGGTAGGATTTTAGCAACTGGTGCTAATCCAAACCTAGTATACCACTGTCCCATACCAGTGCATATAATCCTCCATATCCGTGTAAATTACAACAATTACATAATAGTTTAGCAATTTACAGTCCAAAACCATTCCAAATAATTGCAGAAGAGTATTTAGTATTTCAGCAATTTAAATCCAAAACCATGTAAATTTTAACCGATACATAACAGTTTAGTAATTTACAATCCAAAACCAAAATCCAAATAATTGCAGAAACGTATTTAAAGTTTCAGCAATTTAAATCCAAGAGTTAAACCATATAGTTGCAGGAAACAATTAATAATTCAGCAACTACCATCCAGAGCATGCATAGATCAAATCTAATATATCAATGACTCTATCATGCATTTAAAATAAATTCTATAATCATATTATAGTCCAATAAATCGGTACATTAATTTAAGCAATTTAATTCCTTCCATCCGGTAACAGCGTACTAAGTTGTATACTTGTATTTTGTCTTATCTTTTAGCACAGAGCCATGCACTATGCCCAAGTCCAATTTATTAATTTAAAAGACTTCACTGTGCTTTTAAAATTAATTTATAATCATTATATAGCACCCTAAATTGTCAAATTAAAACTAGACAATAAACTTCCTTCCAGCCGTTAACCGCACGCAGAGTTGTTAATTAGCGCACTGTTAATTCCATTCACTTAGAGGTCAAACTTACTCAATTTAAAGATTTAATAACACCCTAAACCAACCTTATAATCCCTCTATAAAACCCCAGAGTCAACAAAACAGTTTCCATGCTCCAACAGTAACAATATAGTTCGTAAAAAAAAAAATTCTGAAAACACTATTGAAAAGAGCATTCTCTAAAAAAACTAGAGAAGGCTCTAAACCACCTAGAGCTTTCTCTAAAAAACTGGAGAAGGCTCTAAACCACCTAGAGCCTTCTCTAAAAAACTCGAGAAGGCTCTAAGTTACAAGAGACGTCTCCAACTAAGGGAGAGCCTTCTCTAAGTTTTTCAAGAGCCTTCTTTAAGGTTTCAAGCTTTTGTAACACACACTGTAACACCCAAAACCACCCAAAACCATAGAGCCTGCTCCATTCACTTAAATGAAAACCCCTCTGTACCTCTAAAACTAGTTTAAACACATGCTATAATCCATTTAAATTGCTAGTTTAAACTTAGGCAATTAAATCCTTTCTGTCCACAACTAGCATACAGAGTTGTTTAAGTTCCCTCTGTTAATTTCACTTGCGTAATTGCATCTCTTATGCACTGATAACTTATAAAAATACCTAGGTTGCATGTTAATCATCTTAGTTTACTTCCTACACAGTTCTAGACTCAAAAATCGTCCACACAGTGCACCCAAAAACCCAATATACATCAAAATAGGAGAAAATAGGAAAGAGCCTGCTCTTAGAATGCAAGAACAGGCTCTTGCAAGCATGGAGCCGGCTTCATGCCTTTTTGGAGCCGGATCTTGAATGATAGGAGCCGGCTCTTCAATTCCAAGAGCCGGCTCTTCATTCCTCTGAGCCTCTGTTTTCCAACCATCTGCTTCAACACCGGCCACTTCCACTCCCTCTGTTTGTTTTAAAACTGTTACTAGGAGTCCTAAGTGAGTCCAGAACCATCCCACACTCTTACTTAAGTTAGTTTGCATTAAATAAAACCTTAGAACATTCCCCGATCAAACATGCTTAGGAAAAGTAAACATTGTAATCAAACCTAACCAAACTTGCATGGACTGTAACAAAGTAAATTCACGCATACAGAAAATTGATATAACATATAATAAGCATCTAAGATTCAATTTAATAACCAATTAAAACCCTAGAGACTCTCTAAGGATGCACAGAACACAGGCAACGGGAGAGAGAAAGGAAAAAACTTGCCTTTATAGTTTTGGATTCAAAACCATGTTGCCGTCTGCCTAAGCTTTCCGATGACGTCCAATTCACCATTCAGTCTCCTATGGCTCAATCTTCCCTTCTCCTATGTCTATTTTTCAAGCCACGGCCAAGCCCTCACCAAAGTTGTTCTGTCTGTTTCTCACAACCTCTCTGTTTTCTCTCTATATTATGTTGTACGTGTATAGGGTTCTAAACCCTTTGAAGACACATAATAGTATATATATAAGCACTAAGAAACCCTAAGCCCAATCCTAATCCATGATGAAAAAATTAAACCCTAATCCTAGTCGGCCTTAGTTAACGTAATATAAAACCCTACAATTTAATACACTAATAATGTAAACCTAATTAACTCATTCAAATAAAATAGCAAAGCATTTAAACAATTAAAAGCGAATTTAATTCAATTAAAGAAAATAAAAAACTACAATTAAACAATTAATTAATTCAAATAAATCTAATTAAAGAAAACAAACCATTTAAATAGAACAATTAATTAAACCAAACCACCATGCAAATTCAAAATTTGACACCTAAGCACATATCCACAAAATCAAATTAAAATTGCAAATAAAATAAAATTTAAATTCCAATCTTATCCTTTTGAAAAGTAGGGGTATTACATTCTTTCCCCCTAACAAAAGGAATTCCGTCATCGAAATTTACGAAACTCTGAATTATTTCTTTTAAAATTCATTTCCGTGCGCGTGTGGACTCAGCTCTATCAGTACGAATATATTAAGTCAGAACTTGACAACTAATCCATGCCTCCCTAAGTATAGTTATTTATACTTGGGCAAATAAACCATGCCCCTTTTTTTTCGGATATTGTATTAAACCTTTGCAAATCAACCATGCCGACAATTCAACCATGTTTGTGGCAAATCACCCATGTCGCCTTAAGTATATTTAGTTATACTTGACAAATCAACCATGCCGACAATTCAACCATGCTTTTGGCAAATAAACCATGCCACCTTAAGTCTATTTAGTTAGACCTTGGCAAATCAACCATGCCTTAACCTAACATATATTGATTTGAAACTGAACAAAGAATTGAATCACCCATAGTCCGAGCATGCATATCAAACGCATTACATTAATTTTAAATAAACAACCAATCCATATAGATAAATTAAACTTGTCTTACATCATCCGGTTCACGTGACCAGACAGTCGATGTCCTGATACACCTTTATAATCATCCGAGTGCATTGAAAAGAGCGGTTGTTGAGAACGTCCACTTCCTTATACCCTTCCACCGGATAGAACCTAATGCAAAATATGAATCATGAATTCCATTCATCGAAGGTCAACCCATT